ATTATTGTTTTAAAATTTGAAAATGTTCTTTGCCAACTTATGATGCTTTGTGGCCAAAACCATGACAAGTGTGCGGTGAAGCACATAATTGTCACAGTTTTGGTGGTGACAACGTGTCACATAACATTGGATGGTATGACCCCTTATGTTAACTTTAATGAAAATTGAAGTAAATTGATTATATGCTTATATGTGATCATGTAAATTGAGCTCATTTACATATGCTTTGAGCCTAGAGGTTTTGTGGGGAGTTAAATTATGTAACTTGCTTTTTGGTACCGTGTTTAGTAAAAATGAAACCAGCACATTTGGACTCTCAATGAGAACTCGTGCGTAGTTACGGAGTACATTTGAATGTTTGCATGTATTTTTTTCGTGCAACTGGCAAGATTTACCAGGAGAAGGTGAAATTTGTGCAATTGGATATTTTGGTACAAGAATCTTGTCAAATTGGCAAGATTTGTGCCTCACATTTTACACAACTTTTTCAGCATATGTTTAGTCATGCATATTTTGCATGTTATTTTTTGCTATGTTCCCTGATACATGCCTTTTTTCTTCTGTTTTTTTAAAACCCACAGAGGCCATGTTTGGATTTTGGCGTTTGAAATAGCTTTTGGCTGTTTTGACCTCTTTTGGTTGTCCGACCAGCCAAACAACCAATGAAGTGTTTGTGAGTTGCCTCTATGAGTTGGCTGGCTAGGAGTAACATTTCGAGTAAACTTTTGGCAGAAAATGAAATGCTCGTTGCTGTTTTGTCCTTAAATATAAATATTTTGAATGATGAAACAAACAAAACAAATATTGTATACATAAATAAAATCGGAGTATATAATAAGTGTGTACATAAATAATACCATTCGTCTAATAAAATCGGAGTATATAATAAGTGTTCTTTTTTTATTCGCCCTAAAATAATCTTAGATCATGAAGATATGTAATAATTTGTAAAATGTAAACTTTCTTGCTAAACATTTGTATTATTCTTCTGTGTGGGAATGATTTTTTTATATTGACCGTTTGGAAATGAGGAAAATGACTATTGCTCTTTGGGAACAAAGTCAAAGGAAAATGAGGTGCACTCAAATGGAAAGTGTGCCCTCACAAACAGAATTTTAACTTCCGCTATTATTTTTTTTCGGGAAAACAGTTTGCGTGTCACACATCTGGATTGCAATTGGAATAAGTGTTCCCAAACACCCAAAGAACCAAAAGAATTGGAAAACAAGATGTGGAAAACAACTTATTTTCTTCCTTTCCAAAGGGACCCTAGATGAAAATGTGAAATCAATCATCAATACTTGCTTATTTTACTCCAAAGATGGAATCAATGGTTCACCATATGCAGTAGGCGTGCATATATAATGACTCCGTATACACATTTGTTTATTCAAAATGGAAAGAAATCATGTGTAGCGAGAGCAATGGAAAAATACGATAAGGGTCCGTTTGGTATACGGAATTGATGGAATTGGAATTGAATTGGAATTGAAATTCCATGGGATTCAATTCCACAGAATTGAATTCACCAATTCCAATTCATTTTTTGCACTATCAATTCCACATCCATATAATTTTTGTGTTACCAAACACCAAAATTGGAATTGAAGTCCTCAATTCCAATTCCATAGTTTGAATACCGTGTACCAAACGGGGCCTAAGTGACACAAGGCATTTGACAAGATAAAAATTACAGTAAATTATTAGCCACGTCGGAGCGCGCTGTTTATATTATACTCTGTGTATAAATTAAACACAAAAATAATCTTACAACAGAACCGACCATCAACATCATCATATTGTAAGCAGCTGTGTGTGCGGTGGAAAGTTGGATTTGAGATTGCTGGCTCGCTCCTTTGCTTCATCCCTCGTAGTGGCCAACTTCATTTTCTTAAGATGTCTCAATTGGTGGACAAAATCTGTCAATTTTGTGTCAATGATCACCATCTCAAGTGATGGAGCCATCTCCAGCAATTTCAAAAGGAACGTGTCTTCGCTTGACGACCCACAATAAGATCCCATTCGAACCGACCTAAGATTCGCATGATTGAATGTACCCACCTCTGCTTCACTCACTTCAGGAAATGGTATCTCCTGAAGTGATATAACTCGTTAAACGGGTGGAGATGAATCAAGATTTGTAATAGAAAGACATGAGAATAAAATTGAATACCTGATAGTCATGCCATGCATAATCCATCCGTGACAACATGAGACAGTGAAGTTTAGCTCAACATTGAGGCGCTCTTTTTGTATCCAACAGTGGTATATTCCCAGCAAACACATAAGCGCCATTATGGCGCTGCTTAATTTTAAATAAATACTACTAGTAGTAATCTTCTACTAGTGTGAGCAAATGACACCATAGGTGCCGGGAATAAACTAGTGTAAGCAAATGACACCAATAGCAATGGTGTCATTTTCGACTTGCTCATACTTGTGTGCGTGTGTATGTTTGTGTGTGGGCGGGATAGGGAGAGGGGGGGG